ACTAAAAGTAAGCATTTATAAAGGATGATCTATTACCAAGAGACTACCCTAAAAATATCAGTAATAACACAAAAAAGAGCACCAACATTATTCTCATATTATTTTCCAAAAGTGTTCACATCATAGTCAATGTCACCATTAGACTCTGATACTACAGAACAAAGGGACTTTCAGGGTTTAAAATAGTATTTAAACCTTGGGCATAAAAAACCTCCTTCCAAAATGTCCTTGAAGCGAAATCAGGAAATCGATTTCATTGGAATTTTAAAATAACTAGAAAGAAAAAATAAATAAAAACTTCATATTTCAAATCACAAGTTTTATCTTTTCTTTTATATCTGAGTGAGTGTTAAGAAGAACCCCTTCCTCTCATTCAAATCTCAATGCAGGCCGAACGCGGCGGCTCACGCCTATAATGTCAGCACTTTGGAAGGCCAAGGTTGCTGGATCATTTGAGGTCAAGAATTCAAGACCAGCCTAGCCAACATGGTGAAACCCCATCTCTACTAAAAACAAAAATAATAATACAAAAACTGGCTGGGCGATAGTGGCGGGCATGTGTAATCCCAGCTACTCATGAGTCTGAGACAGGAGAGTTGCTTGAACCTGGGAGGCAGAGGTTGCAGTAAGCCAGTATTGCGCCACTGCACTCCACCCTGGGAGACAGAGTGAGACCCTGTCTTGGAAAAAAAAAAAAAAAAAACTCAATGCAGTCAATATTTCTGATGCATCTGGATTCATGACCAGACCGCTGAGCATGCCACACTCCAGGTAGGAAGGTGGTAATATCGACTGGAAAGAAGGCTGTTGTTTGGCACATTGGCAGAACCAAAAACAGGTGTCTGTAAGAGAACAATCAATTTCAAACTTTGACAAACCACATTTGGAGAGATGATTTTAGTAAGCGCTTTTCACCTGAAGAACTTCACAGCACAGTGAACAAGTATAAATAAACATCTTTTGTAATATTGTGAAGATTTTAAGTATTGTTTTTCTTTTTAAATCACATTGGTAGGAGATTGTTCACTTCCAACAAACTGTTCATGGTGCAGAAAGTCACTTTCTAACACCAAGCTGTGAACCACCATCATCCTGTTCCAGAGAATTCTACTGATTTACTACTGATTCTACTGGACTTAAAGGAAACAAGCCCAGATGTAAGGATTATAGTCCTATATTACATTTTATGTACTTATATATCATATACATTTACATTACAAGATTATTGGGTTACATGGGTTTTATCTTAGGCTCTTAGATATAAAAAGGAGTTTGATAGAGCTTATATAGCCTTGGTTTTATTTTCTTTTAGTGAGGGAAAAAAAGTGTGGGTTTTTGGTGTTGTGTTATTTTTAATAATACAATTTTAAAGTTGATCTCTTCTTTCTGAAAAGATATTAAGTGGTTTGAATCTGTATATAGATGTGTGTGAGAAAGAATGAAAAGTGAGAATCAGATAAAGAGAGAAAGGAGATAAGGTTTTCTTAGATTTTCTTTTTTTTAATACAAAAGCTGTTGTTTGAATGTTCTACAAAATTGTTTTTAATGTTACCACATGGAGTTGGGAAGCCGCATGCGTGGTATATGGCTGAACTTTATGTGGTTTGGAATGCACAGACATTAAAGTAGCGTATTTTTTAAGTAGGGCTCACCATCCCTGAGCTGAGGATAACATTTCTTCTAATATTTTGAACCAAACATGGATAGTTTGGCAGCTATTTCCCATTAGAACTCAATGAAATGAAATAGCTGCAATCTCTTCATAGCAAGCTGCAGGTTTCCATCTGTTGTGAGTACCCGGATGACTTCAAAAGAGCATTCTTATTTTTGAGCCCCTTTTGAAAACTTTAAAGGACATAAATAACTTCAATATGGTTAAATATTTATTTGGAAAACATGTCTTCCAAAGGTTCGTTAGCAACTTGCCACTTTAGGAGTGGAAGGAAACAACCAGGCTTGTTACTTTGCCTGGGACACCAGTTTCTGCTAAGTGGAATTGAGTGTCAATGCCTTTCCTTTATGTATCACATTTTTATTGAAAACCTACTAGGTACCAGGCACAGGGCTGAGCTCTTTCCACTTGCTCTGGCAGCAGAAATCTGTAGCCTCTACTTGAAATTTACATCTAGTCAGATAACAATGAAACACGTATTTATGATAATAATCCAGTGGATATAAAGGTACATAAGTGACCAAAAATGAATTCACTAACTGGAAACAAAAGAAACTGCTAATTAAGTCAAAGAATCTTGGGAATTCCCATGTCGCCTGAAGCAAGCCTAGCCTCCTAAGCCAGCTGTAGGAGCTCTACCTGTCTGCTGCTATTACTCCAGCGTGAACAGCGTTTTTGCCACTGTTGCCAGCAACATTGAGGGACTAGGAAAGATGTGAGTCATATTATCGCGTTCAAATCAGGTCATAATTATAATATAATTTTTCACCCAACACCAGTCATTTGCTCAACGAATTTTTTCCCTTAGGTAAGATTCTTAGATTTTGCATAACTATATTTTTCCAAAAATGTGGCCATCAATTTTTTGCATGAAAAATCAGAGTAAAACATAGAATTATATATGAGACCATTATTTTTATATTCTGAGTACAGTTGTTCATGGACATCTCTTGGGAGGAGATAAATAACATTTTTCATATTATAGGTAAATGTGTGTCCCCAAAATAATTTGATAAATGCATGTTTATTACTATGGACATTCTTTTGTTAAAGAAATGTTCAGAAACATTTGATAGATTCCTCATCTGTCCTTAGCTTTTTCTAATCCAACTAATTCTAAACTAGCAAAATTTCACAATCTGAAAAAAATCTTTCTCCCAGATGGGTAAGTAAACTTCAGCAGCAGTAATAGACTCAGTGGACTTTAGATTTTACAATTATACAAACTCAATCCTCAAATGATTCCGGAGTCAAAATGTGATTTATTTTTAAATCGCATCAGTGTTTTAAATGGTTAAATTCACTATTGTTTAGTTAAACTACATATGGTTAAATTCACTATTGTTTATCAATACTCAATTCTCCTTCAATGCAGGCTCACAGGAAGATTGCCCTTCCCTGATCAGTGGAAGTGAGACAGGGTTCTGTGATCACTCATGGGCAATGAAATACAAATGAAAGTAATGTGCACCGCTTTGGAAGGTGTCTTTTCCATTTGTGATGCTGTAACCGAACACCTAAGACTAGCTAACTTACAAAGAACAGAAATTTATTTCTGACAATTTGGATGCTAAGAAATCCAAGATCAAGCCTGCAGCATCTGGTGAGGACCTCATAGCTGTATCCTCACATGGAGGAGCCACAGGGACTTACTCCCTTGTCCCTATCCCCTTTATAAAGGCACCTAAGCCCAATCATGGGGGAGGAGTCCTCGTGGTCTAATCGCCTCTGAATAGCCTCACCTCTTAATAGTATCATGTGGACAACATTTGGATTTTGGAAGGGACACATTTAAACTCTAGCAGGAGCTATGGAACTTACAGTGCTGGGATTATAGGCATGGGACACCTTGCCAAGTCTACTTTCTGATTCTTTATGGTACTTACTCTTTTCCTACTGCAATAATCTTAGAAGCAAGTGATGATACTGTGGTGCCGTAAGGCAAACAAACCTGGATCACTGTGCCAGCAGGTGGAGAACACTGCCCTGAAAATCCGTCTGGACTCCTAGTCAATTTTAAGTGAAAATCACTCTTTTTGTGTGAAACCACAGATTCTGAGATTGTTACTGTAGCAAAACTAGCCTCTGCTCACTGGTAGATAAAGAAAATGCTCTTGGTTTCTTAGCATCTGTACTGATTTTTTTTAAGCCCCTCATTTTTCTCCCCTTCTTCTTACCCCCACATTTTCTTATCTTCTATGGTTGATAGAAACAATGATTGGGTCTCATTAACTCAAGTAGGATCATAAAAATGATACTTGAGTGTGGGAATGATACCAAGAGTTAAGGAGGAAATCTTTTCTACAGATCAAAGATATAAGATGAGAAACGGCACCAATGTTTCAGGAAAGTTTCAAGACATAATTTTAAGCCATGAACAAAACAGTAAAAGAGAACCTAGTTGATTAAAATTAACTTGGTGAGAAAATATATACATGTATATATGTGTGGGAGTGCAAATGTGTGTGTGTGTGTGTATGTGTGTGCATGTTAAGAGGAGCATAAAGAAAATACACCTAATAAACTAAAACAAGATTCTATCTTAATTACATCAAAATATTATGGAATTCTAATAGTCATAATTTTTACGTATTTATGATATTCTCTTTTTTCCCTTTGTGAGCCAAAACAAGGTCAAACACCTTTCATTCCCTGCATTGGCTGCACTTGTGAGAAATATCAGTTGACTGGAAACATGGGCTCTATCAAGAGAGAAATTACAAAGACCTAACACTCTCATTTAATGAGATTATTTTACCCTTAAGTCACATGCAGTATTTAATAAAGTGAAACACACAAATAACTGGATATGCTTCATATCAAAACTTGCCTGTAACCTGTATTTCTCTACTGACATGTTAAATTCAGTCCTACTCTTTGGACCTTAGTTTGCTATTTGTGAAATTCGGGTGTTAGACAACATGATGTGTTAGAGCATTTCTCAATCCACAATACTATTATATCAAGACTACTTTTTCTTTTTCAGATGTTTTTCATTTGAGTTTTAATTGTAATTTAATTTGGAGGATAGGGTTAGAAATTCCAGAGTGCTTAAGGTGATATTATTTTTTCTTTTTCCTTTTTTTCTTCTTTTTAATGAGACAGAGTTTCACTATGTTGCCCAGGCTGGAGTGCAGTGGTACAATCTCCGCTCACTGCAACCTTTGCCTCTTGAGTTCAAGCGATTTTCCTGCCTCAGCCTCCAGCATAGCTGGGATTACAGGTATGCGCCACCACGCCTGGCTAATTTTTTTGTATTTTTAGTAGAGATGAGGTTTCACCATGTTGGCCAGGCTAGTCTTGAACTCCTGATCTCAGGTGATTCTCAACCTCCCAAAGTGTTGGGATTACAGGCAAAAGCCACTGAGCCCAACCTATTTTTTCAATACCTATTCACTGCAAGCATGAACAGCAAAAGTCAATAATCTCTGTAGGATTTACTAAATGCATTAGAATAGTAAAGATCTAAAGGACTTTCTTTTGTTTTTTAACTATTCTTAATTATTACATTATTAGGTGTCCTAGATTTCCTTTTCTTATTCCTCAGATAGTTCTTTTAAAACTATAAGTTTTAGTTATTGCACACATAGCACTACTAAAATCGGGGAAATTAAAATTGAAAATAAATGCAGGAACTTACACTGGTCTAAGAAAGACTGACCTCTGAATATTTCTTTTCCTGTACTTGCCCATTTATATGCAGGCATGCATTTGCAGTTGTAATCGTTTCATAGATAAAATTTTTGTGTTCTTTATATTTTTTATTTAACTTCCATAATAGCCATTTTCTCAAATCTTTCTGCCTTTTCTTATTTATCTTTAGGGTAAGTTTTGCTACTTAGAACTACCTCTGAATCTGAAAATATTCTTACATGGTACCAGTTTCTCCCATTTTTCCCCCTTGTTTTTACCATCATTTTTTCTATATTGCCTTATCCAAATATAGATAGGAATTCCAGTAACAGATCAATAGCTATTTTAGATCAATTCCAGTTTTAAGAGTACTATATCTAACTCATAGATACTCATTTTCAAAGGGATAGAAGAAATTAAAGTAGGTACAGATGGGAACAATAAAAATGATTAAAGCATGGGAAAATGGGACCTCTGGGGAAAGATAAAAGGCATGAGATTATTTTTTCTCCAGAAGAGAAAAGCAAAAACTGTGGAATAGTTTTAGAAGGTTCATGAAGAATGCGTGGAATTATCATAAGAATGAACATTTTATGTTTTTTATATATATTTTATAATAGAACATGGATAAATGGGTTTATATTGTGATTAGGGTAGGCATAAAGAACCCAAAATGGCAGACCTGTGGGACACACCAATGAGAAACACTCATCAGGGAAACTTTTGAAAGACATGAAATACTCAGGTGTTTCTGACTTCAGTAAACAAGGATGTGTCTTTGCCGTATGCCAGCTGTGAATAGCTCCATTCAGGACACTATGCTTATTTTCCAGAGTATCATGTCTGTTCTTAGTAATTATAGCCTCTGATTAACACATCAATGTTGCAGACACCAAATGTCCCTAAAAGAAGTCTTATCGCCATGAATACTGAACTCATCCTTCAAAATAGATTTACTCTCCAAATCCTTCTCCTTGTCCCTGGACAGTTGGATGCCTTCTCATTGCAGGAAGCACAGAATTCTCCCCAAGTTATTCCACCTGTCACTCCATCTCTCTTCTGCCTTCTTCAGTCCTGTAGATTTCACCAATAACAATTTTTGAAGACCTGACAGTAAGAAAAAAAAACAAATATATCAACTCGGTAATGTTTCAGGCTGCTAAAATTTTTTTATTGTAGTTTTATGAAAATTATTCTCCTGAAGTCATTTCTTTTTTTGTTTATTTTTAATCCCAATTTTAAGGTCCCTAATAATGACCCGCAGTTCCCTTTGTCACAAGAAAAACAATCTTTTCTGCAAAGGCCTAGGAATTCTACTCGTTTTGGGGTCGAAAATTGTTCCATTTATGCACTAAACTTATTTGAATTCTCAAAAACAATAGGAATCCCACCGTTTTGGATTTATAGCTGCCTACCATGTAGACACTGGACCCAAACAGCATGGGTTAAAATCCTGGCTAGAACACTGACTGGTTTGTGGTATTGGGAAAATGTATTTGTGATTCAGTTTCTTTGCTTGTCCAATTAAAGTCACAGTATAACTCATTTCACATTATCATGGCTTTAGGGTAATCCCCTTTTGCTGAGTCCCCATAACCTTCCTAAGCAGTATTCTCTGGTCCTGCCATTTCTATGCCAACATAAAATTTGCTGTTTGATGCCCACGACAAATGCAAGCAAACACCAAAGTTTTAAGTGTAATAGGCTACAGTGATTTAGTGTGAGGATGCCCTTCACTTACTGAACAGTGATTCTTGGTTGCTCATTCAATGCCTCTTCTCCCTTACACACCATCAACTACTCAACCTGCCGTATGGTATCAAGAAGCCCAAACATTTTTCTAATGTGATGCAAGCCTGCTGCATCAAGCATTTAGCAAAATGCCCTTACTACCATTCTCTCCCTGGGAAGAATTTCAGTGCCAACTCTTAAGATAAAAACACTTTTGCCCACCTCATTATTCTAGATTTGAGTTCCAGCTCACCTACTCGGTGGCTATGTGGCCTCTGTGGCCATGTGGCCACCCACTCGGTGGCTATGTGGCCTCTGTCACACCACCATCTCCTCACTAGACATTAATCTCTTCACCTGGAAAGGAAAAATTATAACACACATGGCTTTAAATGGATTAATGCATGTGACATGCTCAGCAGACTATCTGGCAATGGAATATCCATGATACATTTTAGCCATCCTATCCCTGAACTTATGGAGTTCTTATAATAATCAAATTAAATTAAGTATATGAAAGAATTTATCAGTGGAAAATCCCTGAGTATTATTGACAATATCTTAATCATTATTGGAAGTTACTCCCTTTCCTGCGTGCCTGTATCTTTCCTTCCATATCCTTAATACAAAGGTTGGTTGTGAACTGTGTGTCAATCTTCATGTTGCACATGAATTCACTGAAGAGAATGTGGGTACTTTTGTTTTGCAGAGTTCCAGGTCTGCCCTGGGGAGAGGCTGGCCACGTCACTTCTGTTGAGTTTCCTCGCAGATATAATCCAAGTTCTAGATAAAAGACCAGCTGGCAAGCTCAAGCAGACTGGAACCACGTAGCAAAACAAAGTGCAGAACACATCTTCTTTTCTTTATAAGGTAATTGACAGATCAGTACATGTTGTAACTAATCTACCTTGGACTTCAGAAAGTATTGGGTTTCTATTCCTTCATTAATATCTCTATGGTCTTTGAGATGATTGCATACAAAGCGTCTTAATAGGAAATAAGGGCCAGTGATGTACTATTTATGTCATGCTAACCTTCCAATATTAAAGATTGAATATTTAGGAGAGGAAAAGTCACATCACAGGACCCAGAGGTGGATTTTAATGGTTCAGGACAGGCCTATAAGGCATGTTGCTGAACTTTGAGAAACAAGGGGAAGAGAAACATAGCTCAATGCAAATTCTTTTAAATAGGCCTGATTTGGCTGTGATTAAGAAAAGAACAAAAATGTGTCAGTTAATGAAGAGCAAACTGTGGAAGCTGTATTTTAAAATTCTTCATTAAAGGCATGTTAGCAGGGTCAGATTAAATTACCATGTATTGAGTGCCTATCAGGAACTAAAAGATTTTGTTAATGATTTCTGGTGTAAAAATTTAAAAAAGAAACCTGTGAAATAGGTATTGCTATTCTCAGGCTACAAATGCCAACCTGAAGCCCTAACAGAAAAATCTATCAAACAAAACAAACAAACAACAACTGCCTTGGAATGGATGGTCTAGCACTCTTTAGCCAGATCCCCACCTGTCCCTGAGTTAGCTCATTTGCTTCTGGTCACAGCTATGTCCTTGATTGTGATGGTCAACTGTCTAAAGAAATGCAAGCTGAAGACAGACCCAAGGGCACTGAGCAAATCATTCTACCCTGTATCACTGAGTTATTTCCAGGTACAAGATCTGCTTCCTCATTCTTTAACTGTGTCTCATTAGCAACTGGCTCATACCCTGGTCTCGAGTATAAAGTGGATTAATTTGCACAAGGATGTGCCTGGGGCATAGCAGGTGATTAGCAAGCTTTATAATGTTGAACCTTTACGATTTCATCTATCTACCTTCAAAATATGGATTTTAAATATATGTACACATTTTGAAAAATTGAAAAAAATAACAAATCAGAAGAAAAGTGTATCATTCTGACTCCGATAAACAGTTTTAATTTTCTCGTATACTCTATATCTATACTTTACGTATATGTGTTTGTATCATAAAACTAGGATCAGACAGCACTGCAGTCTCATTAATATGTGGCTGTTTTCACATGGTCTATCATATACATTTACCCATCTCATTAGATGATTTTTCATGAAGTGATTATTAATATCAGCCAGTCATTCTACTTTTTCCATAAAATTTAATGTTAAGAACTTCATGATTTTTTCATTAATTGTTTTCAAATTACCAAACATTACATTCTGTGGATGGGAAAGTTTCACTTTCTTAACTTACTTCTTAATTATCTAAGATTTCAAAAACTTGATAAATGCAACCAACTTTATAAAGGATACCTAAATATTAACACCAATATTAATAACTACTAAGTATTAGTTTAAAAGAAAATATTGCAATGGTATCTAAAAGCATGTTAGCCCTAGTGAATCCTTCTCTGCTCTTTTTTAAAGATAACTATCGTGTTGAAGTGTCTGTTTCCTGAGGTTTTTGTACACATGGTTGGATTCATTAAATATATCTACCATTATTTTAGATTTCTTTTAAGTTACACAAATATTGTCATATTGTATATATCCTTTCTTTTGGCCAATTTGTTAAAGATTTATATATATCAATACATGTCAACACATTAACTCGTTTAACAAATTTTAACTGTGAAAATTATGTAATGGTATAAATTTTCCTACAGCAAATAATGTTGAACATTTTTTGGCCTTTTTGAGAATAAATGTGAACATCACTCAAGTGGAGGCACCAAGAAGCAACAATGTGAGGAAATGAAGTGCATTCTTCTTCAACTTTGACAGGTGTTACCAAAAGACTTTCTAAATCTTCCTTTGTTCATTGTACTCTTGTGGCAAGATGGCTAGCGAGGGTACCCTTCCTGCAGTCCAGGAAGTAATTACTTTGCTAAAAAAAAAAAAAAAAAAAAAAAAAAAAAGACTTTCTAAATCAATTGCGCCAATTTCCATTCCACAAACAATGCATTGAGTTGTTCCTTTCCACAATTTTTTTTTGCCAACCCTGGCATTATTTGACATTAATTTTTTTGATTTTTTTGTCATTTTTTATTGAAGGACTTTCTCATCTTTTCCTCTTTAGCATCTTCCTAGTCTTGTACTGTGTCACACTCATTTACTGATTGCTGTTATCTTATTGGCAGAGCAGGCTTCTCCTCATTCACACTTCTTTTTATGTTTCAGAACCATTTTGCCTACTTTCAAAATTCCAGTTACGAACGGGCATCGTGGCTCACACCTGTAATCCCAGCACTTTAGGAAGCTGAAGCCAGTGGATCACTTGCAATCAGAAGTTTGAGACAGCCTGGCCAACATGGTAAAAACCAGTCTCTACTAAAAATACAAAAATTAGTCAGGCATGGTGGTGCATGTCTGTAATCACAGATACCCTGGAGTTCAAGGCAAGATAATCGCTTGAACCTAGGAGGCAGAGGTTGCAGTGAGCTGAGATGGCACCACTGCACACTCCAGCCTGGCAACAGAGTGATACTCTGTCAAAAAAAAAAACAAAAAAGAAAAGTTCCAGTTAGAATATTTGCCACTGTGTCTCTGACTCCTAGTTTGTAATACAACCTAGAATAGATATTCAATAAGTAACCTGGAAAAAAGGAATAAATGAACAAGGAAACAAATCATTAACATTATCAATATTGATTCTTCCAATCCAGGAACCTTGCTACCTGTTTATTTATTTACAATTTAAAAAAATTTCATTTTCCTGAGAAAAATTTTCTGACATTGTATGCCTTGGTCTTGTGCATGTTTGATAAGCTTGTTTCTTGATTTTTTTTTTATATTTTTGTTACTTTTGTAAATATTCTCTTTTGGGGGGGCATTTATGACTGCTTATTTTTTAGTATATAAGGAAAGTATACCTTTGCTTATATTTTAAATATCTATACACTTTATAAGACGGCATTTAGTTAATTTTCGTTTCTTTACGTGGTCAAAAGTGATCTGCAGAGAGTGATGTTTGCCTTCTCATCACTAACATTTCGTTACAATTTTTAATCTCTTTTTCTTGTTATATAATATTGGCTAGAGATTTTTTTTCTAAATAAATTGTATTGTGAATATTTAAGATATACAACATGATGTGATGGCATACATTTAGACAGTCAAATGATTACTGTAGTGAAGTAAATTAACATATCCATCATTTCACATAGTTACTTATTTTTTGTGTGTGGCAAGAACAGCTAAAAATCTACCAATTTCACAAAAATTCTGAATAAAATCCAGTATTATTAACTATAGTCTTCATGTTGTACACTAGATCTCTCATACTGTATTTTTAAATGGCTAATAGTAAGTCTCCTTATCTTGCCCCAAACTTTAATTGGAGTCACTCCAAAGCTGAAAATAGAAATTCAAAAACGCCGGGGACCACCTGGCCACAGGAGCAGGTGACATCAGCCAAGTTAAAGATTGCTGATTTTGAGCTTCATGAATTACCATCCGGTGTACACTGCCTTTGACTTCTCCATGGGATCCAAACCTAACAGTTGTGTCCCACTCTGCTGTCTCTAGTTCATTCCCCTTAAGTACCTACATGTTTGTGCCCTGCTGTAGATATCTTCATGATGCTTTTAAATTCCCTCTCGGCATCAAATTTGCCTAGTTTGTAGTTGTTGTTTGAGGCAGTCTCACTCCAGGCTGGAGTGCAGTGGTGCGGTCTCGGCTCAGTGCAATCTCCGCCTCCCAGGTTCAAGTGATTCTCCTGCCTCAGCCTCCCGAGTAGCTGGGATTACAGGCACCCACCACCACGCCCACTTATTTTTGTATTTTTGGTAGAGATGAGTTTTCACCATGTTGGCCAGGCTGTTCTTGAACTCCCAACCTCAGGTGATCTGCCCACCTCAGTCTCCCAAATTGCTGTGACTGCAGGTGTGAGCCACTGTGCCCAGCCTTGCCAAGAGTTTTATAAAAAGTGTTCCATAAGTGATAAAAATGTATTTATTTTTGGCTTTTATCAATGTACTCAGGTATATTTTTTTCTTACTTTAGTCACCAATTATATAAATCATATTAATAGATTTCTACTAGGTAGTCCTTGTCAGTTTTAATAAAATTTGGCTTAGACACATTATGTTATTGTTTTGTTCATACTGATAAATACAATAAGCTAGAATTGTATTTTTAAATTTTGCTTCTAAAATTTATGAAAGTTTATTGATCTTCATGTGTGCACTTCAAAAAATGCTATTAACATGTCATTAAAAGGGTTAACATCCTGTGTGTGTGAATGTGTGCGTGTGTGTATATATGCATCCACATAAGCATGTATATGCCTTTTGAATTTGGCATTATTGGAATTATATACGTTTGGAAATATGTTGAGAATTTTTTCATCTTTTTCTCTAATTGCTGTACCATCTTCAATATCATATT